AGAGGAGAGAGAGAAGGAAGGGAGGGAGGGAAGCAGAGGGAGAGAGAGAAGGAGAGAGAGAGAGAGAGAGGAGGGAAGGGGAGAGGGGGGAGAAAGAGAGGAGGAAGAGAGAGGAAGCCTGTTTATCAGCTGCCTTGTAAATGTCATCATCGCAGTCCTCCTGTGGGGCCTTAAACGAGCCAGAGGGAATTGGGGAGGAAGCCGTCTGGACAAGGCGCGAGATTGATGATGACCCAGAGCAGGTTCAGCCCCTGAGTCTCGAGGGACACCCTCCCAGTGTCTGCAGAATTGGGCTCCTGCCCCCTGACCCAGGGTGACAGGACTATTGGGGGGACGCTCCTCGGAGACCATCAGTCTCGCTCCAAAGCCGCTAAATACCATTGATCTAATCCGGGCTTTCCAGCACCCCCCAGTGAGATAGCTGGGCAGGAATGAGTTATTGATTTTCCGTTTGATGGATGAGGGAACTCAAAGGTTAAAGGACTTATTGATTCCCACGCAGTGAGTTAGGGGCAGGGCCTAGAGCAGGAGTCCAGTGATCCAAGCTCTGAAACCTGCATGAGGTATATCAGTGAACAGAGCACTAGACACGGAGTCAAGAAGACTCGAGTTCAAATCCTGCCTCATACACTTACTAGCTGCATGACCCCAGGCGAGTCATTTCACCTGTTTGCCTCAGTTTCCTCATCTGTAAAATGGGGATCATAATAGCACTTCCCTCCCAGAGCTGATGTAAAGATAACGTTTGTAATGTGTTTTGCAAACCTTAAAGCCCTGTACAAATGCCAGCTCTCATTATTCTCATTTCTGTGGCATTTCATGATTTACAAAATACTTTCCTTGCAAAGACCACCTGATGTAGGTAGTACAAGTGTTATTATTCCCATTTTGCTGATGAGGAAAACTGAGGTTGTGGTAAAATGCCTGAGCACCATAGATTTAGAATTGGAAGGGCCAAACGGGAGTCATCTAATACAATTCCTTCATTTTACAAAAGAGGAAATTGAGGCCCAGAGAGAGAGAGAGGTACATGTGTTCAGGGTCAGACGGGTAATTAGCAGCAGATCCAGACCTCCTAAATCCTTGTCCAGGACTTATTTAGCTGGGCCATGCCAGCCAAGAGCCAGGGAAAGAACCCCAGCCTATGTTTCTAGGCGCAGCCAGGGGAGCTGCTGAGTTATTGGCATTCTATCGTGATTAATGATTGATTAAGGGTGCCAGACTAGACCAATCAGGAAGCAGCTACTGTGATTGCTTTTTGTGGGGAGGGGGAGAACTGGGCCTGGAGCCCTGAAAAGCTTCTCCTAGAACCACTGAGCAGAGCGAGGTGCCTGGGAAATCACTGATTTGGAGCAAGAGTGGACCTTTCAGGTCAGGCATTTTTCAGTCGTGCTCATGTGACCCCATCTGGGATTTTCTCAGCAAAGATACTGGTAACAGTTTGCCATTTCCTTCTCCAGCTCATTTTCTAGAGGAGGAAACTGAGGCAAACAGGATTAAGTGACTTGTCCTCAAAGGCTATCAGATCCAACACATTTTACTCAGGCAAACGGAGGTTAAATGACTCGCCCAAGGTCACACAGCAAGGCAGGATTTGAACTCAGCTCTTCCCGACTCCATGTTCAGCACCATGCCCCCTATTTGCCCCCTGCCCCTTAGACCATGGATGGGTCTGCAGCTTACAAACCACAAATGTCCCACCAGCCATTTGCCTTCAGTGGAGCCAGATGTGGAGGGCAGTGTGACGGGAAGGCTGGTATGAGGACATAGACGAGGAAACCGGGTGAAGGTCTGTGGATGGTCTAGGACTGTGAGAGGCCAGCTGCTGGGTGGGTGGGCGAGGGCAGCCTTGGGTCAGTTTAGAGGAGGCCAGAACCAGATCCAGCTCCGCATCCCCATTCCTGCATCCCTGGCCCCGGCAGGAGGTGCTCAGCAGGACCAGAGAGCCCAGGTTGTCATAACAACTTGGGGCAGCTCAGGAGGGAGGCTCTTTGAGTCTATTATTAGAACGCTGGTCGTCCTAACAACCAGGGCTCTTCAGAGATGACAGGCTCACGGGCTGAACCTCCTCATTATCTTTGATTTGTTTTCTTTCTCTTGTGCCCCCCACCCCCACCTCACCCCAGGGGAGGGTGGACCTAGCTGTCAGGCTGGCCTGTGACTGGTTGGGGCAGCAAGTGGACCCACCCCCTTCCTATCCTCGCCTTCCTTAGCCCACTGGCAAATGCTCCCCTCAGGTGCTTCCTCTGGCCTAGCATCACCATCATTGCCATCACTAACATATCACTTTAAAGCTTGCAAAGCACTTTGTATGCTTTCTCATTTAATCCTCACAACAACCCTGGGAAGAAGATGTTATTCTATCCCCATTTTACAGATGGGGAAACTGAGGCAGACAGCTGTTAAGTGCCTTGACCAGGGTCACATACCTAGTAAGCGTCCAAGGCACGATTCAAACTCAGATTTTCTTCTGATTATTGCCTCTTCCAACCCGCCCTTCCTTCTATTAGCCCCCCACCTTCTATTTTCCCAGTTCCTTTTTACTTCCTTATATTGTAAGATAGATTCCTGTATCCCACTGAGTGTGTATGTTATTCCCTTTTTGAGCCAATTCTGATGAGAGTAAGGTTTAAGTTTTGCCTGCCACTTTCCCTCCATCATAATAGCTCTTTCATGCCTCTTTTATGTGAGATAATTTACCCTATTCTATCCTCCCCTCCTTCTTCCAGTGCAGTCTTCTTTTTCACCCCTTTATATTGTTTTTTTGAGGGACACCATCCCATCAAAGTCACCTTATATCCACACCCTCTGTCTATATATACTCCCTCTAATTGCCTTTATAGTAATAAAGTTCTTAAGAGTTACAACTATTGTCTTGCCATATAGAAATATAAACAGTTTAACCTTATTGAATCTCTTGTTTTCCCTTTCTTGTTTCTTTTTTACTTTTTTTATGTTTCCCTTGAGTCTTGTATTTGGAGATCAAATTTTTTATTCAGCTCTGGTCTTTTAATTAGGAATGCTTGAAAGTTCTCTATTTTGTTAAATGTTCATTTTCCCCCCGAAGTATTATCTTCAGTTTGAACTTAGATTTTCTTGACAAGGCAGTGGGTTCTACCCACTCCTAAATGAATAGATGCCTCCCAGTTTCTTCAAACCAGACTCCCAGAAAGTAGAGCCTTAGAGCTGCCTCTGGGCCAGAGGAGCAACTGCCCTGCTCCCCCTGAGAAGATCATAGAGCCACCATTCAGCCCTAGCCCCTGCCTGGCACAGCCCCTCATAGCCATGAACATCAGTCCTTCTTTCCTTTCCTTTCCCTGTCCCTTACATTGCAGGGCTAGAATACAACTCATCCCTAGCTGCCCTGGAGAGGCATCAGAGATGTAATGGAAGGACCACTGGACATAGTCAGAGGGCTTGGGTTTGCCACTGAGCAGCCGCTCACTATAATCTTGGTCAAGTCACAATTTCTTGGGCTTCAGGTCTGACATTTTATGATCTCTTGCAGTCTGGCAGTTTTCTCAAGAAAGGTATGCTGATCTTTGAAGGAAGAGGAGTCTGGCTTATAGCAGTGATGGAGAGAGGAAGAAGAGGGGACTGAAGACAAGCTCAGGGCTTGGGGGGGGGCAGGTTATGTCCAGGAGGGAAAGTGGAAAAGAGAGGACAGAAGACAGAGTCAAGGACCAGGCACTAGGTTCAGCCTTTCCTCAGCTTCTCAGATTGTATTAGTGTTATAAAGATCAAATCATATTAGATACCCAAAGATCTAATTTGGCTCTTTATAGCCTGAATTTTGGCCACTCCAAAGCACTCTCTCCTAATTTATGGCATTGCTCTTACAGGGTTAAGTGTCCCAATAATGTTATTTTGCCTCACATTGTGTTTCCACAGAACTGATTAACAGGGTCAGGTAGAGTTTGCCTGTCTACATAAAAAGGTAATTTAATCTCAGGCAGCGTATGGCCATGGGTGTAGAGCTTAGAAATCCTGTAGTCCAGCCCCTCCATTTTTCAGGTGCAGAAACTGAGCCACACTGAGGACAAGTAACAACCCGTAAGTTGCCCTGACTAACTCATTGCTTGGGGGTGTTGGAGATAAACCAGAGCAGTGGGGCTCAGGTGATTTGAGATCCTAAATATTGGAGTCAGGACTTGAACAGGGTCCCCTGACTCCAAAGTCAACCCTTCTCCTACTGAGATAATATAGAACCTCATTCAAGGCATGCACCTTTTTTTCCCTCTTTCTTTGCATTCATTCATAATTTTAAAAAATTATTATTTATGACATTCTTTTCTTTTTAAATTTTGAGTCCCAAATTCTCTCCCCCCCTCCCCCCCCCCCTCCCACCCACTAAGAAGACAAGCAATAGGATATCAATTATACATGTGAAATCATGCCAAACACATTTCCATATTAGCCATATTTCAAAAAATGCAAGAAAAATTCAGTGAGAAGATTATACTTCAATCTTCATTCAGAGTTCATCAGTTCTCTCTTTAAAGGTCGACAGCGTTTTTCCATCATGAGTCCTTTGGAAATGTCTTGGATCATTGTATTGATCAGAGTAGCCTGGTCTTTCATAGTTGACCATCATTACAACATTGCTGTTACCGTGCACAATGATCTCCTGGTTCTTCTCACTTCACTTTGCATCAGTTCATGGAGGTCTTGCCTTGTTTTTATGAAACCACCCCCCCTTGTCATTTCCCACAGCACAATAGTACTCCATCACAGTCATATGCAAGACATACATTGGGTGGAGGGGTAGAGACGGGTAAGAGAGGCAAATTTAGCAGTGGCGGTGTAAAATGCCAGTTTTGGTGAAACTGACATTAAGTTCTGCTAACCTACCACCATCAGACACAAGGGTTAGTTAGTGCTGATCAGCTTATGAGAACGGAGGGAGAGAAGGGAAGGATAGGAAGGAAGAGGGAAGGAAAATAGATATAGACAGAAGGAGACAGAGGGGAAGTGGAGGGAGAGAGAGAAGGCTGAGATTGACATGCACTCAGAGAAGAGGATGTTCCAACAGATTGAGACCTCAGAGGAAGGAGAAATCATTATGGTCTGGCTATGTTCCAAGAAGTCTGCCTAGAGGACGTGGCACTTGGGCTCAGCTTTGAAGGATGTATAACATCTGGAAAGGTAAAGGAGGGAGTGGGGCAGGAAAGGGAGAGGGGCATGTTAGGGAAGAGGGATACAGTAAGCAAAAGCATCCAGGTGGAGGGGTTTAGTAGTGGGAACACTGGTCTGGCTAGAGTAGAAAGCTTTTGTAGAAGAATAATGGAAGATGAGGCCAGAGAAGTAGGACAGCAGATTGGGAGGGCTTTGAATGCCACACTGGGTTTGGTCTTTATCCTACAAAGAATGCAGAGCCATGAGAGGCAGCATGATCTAATGGATAGTAGGCTGGCCTCAGAATTGAGAAGACCTGGGTTCAAGTCTTGACTGGCACATTCTTGACTTTGTGACCCTGGGTAAGCCACCCTCTTAGTGCACTGGTAATTCAGTAAGACTACAAATTATGGAGAAGGTACAGAATTGCATCCCTTCACTCATCAATAAAACCACAGATCAATAAGCATGTATTTTTATTTTTTTTGCAAGGTAGTCGAGGTTAGGTGACTTGCCCAGTACCAATAAGCATTTATTAAGCACCTATTGTGTGCTAGGTACTGTGCTAAGCTCTGAGGATACAAAAAGAGGCAAAAAAAAATCCCTGCCCTCCAGGAGTTTATAGTCTAGTGGGAGAGACAACATGCAAACAAATATTTACAAAGCAAGCTATGGACAAGATTAATTTTGTTGTTCAGTTGTGTCCAAATCTTTGTGACCCCATTTGGGGTTTTCTTGGCGGAGATGCTGGAGTGGTTTGTCATTTCCTTCTCCAGATCATTTTACAAATGATGAAACTAAGGCAAACAAGGTGAGCTAGTAAGTGTCTGAGGTCATATTTGGACTCAGGTTTTCCTGACTCTAGACCCTGTTGTTTAAACACTACGACACCTAGCTACCTTGAGACAGGATAAATAGGAGACAATTCTCAGGGGGAAGGTATTGGAACACAAAGGGTTTGGGAAAGGCTTCCAGTAAAACATGGGATTGTGATTAAGGGAAGCCAGGGAGGTCAGTAGGCAGAGTTGAAGAGGGAGGGCATCTTAAGCATGGGGGATAGGGGAGAAAATGCTCAGATCCAGTGAAAAGCAAATAAACAAGCAAAAAACTGGCAAGCCAAAGAATGATAAGGACACTGTAAAGTGGTTTTTGAATGGATGAGTGGCCCATTGAAAGTGAAACTTTAGGAAGATTATGTTATTATCCTGCTCAGTACCTCCACCTCCATCTGGATCTTCAGGGGAATTCCCCCTGGGGAGGCCTGGGTCCATCCCTATAGGACCACACTGCAGGGTCCCATAGCCAGGGCTGGGTATGCATCTCCCTCTATGGCCCACCTCCTCCTACAGTTGAGACCAGGGGACCATGGTGGAGGCCGGGCTGGATTGAGATGAGCAGATGCACAGAAGGCACTAGAGAAATGTCAATTATGATTGTCATGAGTTATGATTGTAATTATAACAATTATTTCTATGCTCCTACCTTGCCCTGCTGCCCCTTCCCAGCCACTAACTTGAAATTACAAATTAATTGAAGATTGCTCAGGAGCCCTGGCTTTTTCAACCCGGCTCTATCCCTTGCTTCCACTGTGACTTCAAAGCCATTTTGTGCCTATGGTTTTATCCTGGAAAATATCGGGGGTGGACAAGATGATCTTCAAGGTCCCTTCCTGCCCTGACATTCTGTGTTCTAAGGACATTGCAGCTCTAACATGGGGGATTTATAGCTAGAAGGAAGGAAACAGGCACCTACAGTGTGCCAGGCACTATGCTCAGCGCTTTGCAAATATCATCGCATTTGATTTTCACAAACAACCTATGGAGGTAGATGCTGTCGTTATCCCCCTTTTACAGTTGAGGAAATTGAGGCAGACAGAGTTTGGTAAGTGACTTGCCCAGGGTCACACAGCTGTTAAGTGTCTGAGGCTGGATTTGAACCCAGGTCCAATACTCTATTCACATTCTTTGTTCCCAGGGACCTCCCAGCTCTGACGTTTCACATTCTAAGAGCCCTTTCAGCTCTCATGCTATGATCTAAGGATCCTTCCAGCTCTGACGCCCACTAATTTAAGGACCGTTCCAGTTCTAACAGTCTTTGTTGTGGGGACCTGTCCAGCTCTGACATTTTGTTGTAAGGGCACTTTCTCACCTCTGACATTCTGTGTTCTGTCTATCCATGACAGCATGACACACATCTGCTCCTGGCCATCTCCCTCCAGACCCGGCACACACATACACACTTTTGTTCTGATGAACAGGGGTGGGCAACTTGATCAGTTGGATTCCTGATTTAATCTGAGTGTCAGACTCAAGGGGGAACATCTGTTCCTTTGGCTGAACCCTTGACCTTTAACAGGGTAGGAGGGAGACGGGTGAAAGCCAACAGGGTCCATGGGGAGAGCAGGGCCAGAGCCTGGGGGGCAAGAAACAGACGTTGTGCCTGAAATTCATGTATTGGAAATAGCTCAGGATCATCCATTCCAAGACCTAGAGTCTGCTCGTCCCTAAGTTCTGGAAACTGAAGCCAGGGTTAAGCCCCTTGAGGCCAGGAGGTGCTTCATTTCCATCTGTGTATCCTCAGCACCCGCACAGTGTCTGGCACATAGCAGGCATTGAATACATGCTTGGTGATTAATTGATTGATCAGGGGCCCATGTTTCCAGATAGCAGAGCTTTAGGTACTCAGAGAAGGGAAACAATAGAATGTGGATTAAGGCAGTTGGCTTTCCCGGTGACTCCTCTAGTAACATGTCATCTGTGAAATGGGCACTTTGGGCATGGAGGTTTCTGAGACAGAATCACGTCATCAGCATCATCCTCAAAGGTCCAAGGCTTCCCAAGCCCGCTGGGGATCAGTCCCTACAGCCTTGGACCCCTATCTAACTCTAGAACCATTGGGAGGAGGGCCCAGATGGCCCAACAGACCTCCCCAAGTGGGGCTGAACTTCCTAGGCCTCTTTGGAGGTAGCAAGCAGTCCCAGCAGAAAAGTAAAAAAAAAAGAACCTGGGTTCATGTCCCAGATCTGCCTCTTACGAAATGTATAATGTTGGGCAAGGCAAAGCATCTCACTCATTGGGGGTCTCCAAGGGAGAGGTACCATCAGCCTCACAGAAATAATGTACACAAAGTGCTTTGTGAGCCATCACTGGGTCTCCCGGACAGTATGCTTCGTGTTGGCAGAGATGGCGTCTTATTTAAATTTTGAATCTTCGGCAGCAGCCGCCAATGCTGGGATTGGCGCCCACTGCATGCTTAATACGTGTCGATTGAACTGACTCCTGTTTTTATTGATTCCAGACCCTGTGGTTTGATCTGCATCAGCGTCTCTCAGATGGAAACAGCACGGCTTGCACTGTGAGTACCCATCCCCCACCAGGTTTTCTCTGTCTGTCTACTTCTCCGAGGGTGACCCCACCGCCCACTGCTGATTGGAATTCTCAGCTCAGGGCAGAGAATTTCTCCAAAGTGAGGACCTTATAAAATGAACATCAGTGGTTGTTAGAAGACTGAAATTTGATGTTTGGTCCAATGAATACAAGACACCCAGGGGTACAAAATGGCAGTCCACCCAAGGAATGGATTGCCCCATTCGAAATTGGAAAGGAGTCTCTTCACGGCTACAGCAGGGGAGAAGTACAGTCACAGAGCCTGGGTAGAATGGGGCAAACATCACACTGAGGAGGGGTGTTCATAAGGTTCAGAGCTAGAAGAAAACTGACAGACCATCTAGTTCAGGGGTTCTTAACCTAGAGTCCATGAACTTGTTTTTAAAAATATTTTGATAACTGCATTTTAATACAATTAGCTTCCTTTTGTAATCGTATGTATTTTATGTTATTCATATGAAGCATTATTCTGAGAAGGGGTCCATTGGCCTGACCAGACTGCCAAAGGGGGCCGTAACACAAACAAGGTAAAAAACCTTGGGCTAGTCCAACTGTCTCATTTTACAGATGAGGAAACCGAGGCCCAGAGTGGTTACATAATTTTCCTGTAGTAACACAGAGAGTAAGGAGCAAAGTCGTCGTTTGAAACCTATGTCCTGAGAGTTGGCAGCTCAGCTATACCCTTTCTCTTCCCTCAGTATCTACTGTTGGTGAGACAAGAGATGGTGGTGTCGAGGGAGCACCTTGGGGAATTCCTGAGTTCCCTGAGGCAGTACCTGAGGAGCACAGCTGAGGACAGCCATTGCTTTCAGTAAGTTCCACTTGATTTATTGGGAGGGAGGGAGCAGAGGTGTGCTGGGCCTTCTAGGAAATATTACCTCCTCGGATGGAGGGACATGAAATCTGGGGTCCCCTCACTCCCTACTGGTCATACCTACATGCAGAGATTTGAGGAAACAGATTGGTATGTCCTAGTAAACCCACCAACCCTAGTTCCTTCGCTACTGCCAAAGAACTGATGGGATGACTGAGAAGGAGTGGGTGTTCTCTGGTTCTAGAGGGGTCAGAAGGGACCCTAAGCATTTTTTAAGTGCCGAGAACTGAGCTAATTGCTTCACAGATATCATCTCATTTTATCCCCACAACAACCCTGGGAGGTTAAGTGCTCTTATTATTCCTATTCTACAGTTAAGGAAACTGAAGCAGACAGAGGTTAAGTGACTTGCCCAGGGTCACACAGCTGGTAAGTGTCTGAGGTTGGATTTGAACCCAGGACCACACCACCAAGGCAGAAGAGAGGGATGGGCTCTCAGAGATTGGAAGAAGGGTGATGCTGAAAGGGTACCTGCTTATCAAATCCCCATGAACCCCCAACCCATAGCCATGACCTTGACCTTCTGACTCCAGTGTTTCCCAGTTCCACCCTCCATCAAGTGCCCTGACGCCATTTTCTTTCTCTGGCTCCATGCATCCTCTCTACTACAACTTCTCAATTCCATACCTTATGACCAGTCTTTTCTAATTCTAGGATCTGTAATTCTATGTTATGATATGGTAGAGAAAATGCTAAAGTGATACGGAGTTGATATCTGGTTTCAAATGCTTCCTGTGACACTTACTAGCCATCGATGTGTCACTTGATATTTTTGAGCCTCAGTTTCCTCATCTGTAATATGGGTATAGTACTATTTTTTTTTTGAGGCAATCAGCGTTAAGTGACTTGCCCCGAGTCACACAGCTAGTAAGTGAGGCCGGATTTGAACTCAGGTCCTCCTGACTCCAAGGCCGTACAGTACTACTTTTACTCTCTACCTCAGAGAGTTGTTGTAAGGAAAGCATTTGGTAAACCTTGATGTGCTAAATGAGAATAGTCATCATCGTAATCATATTAAGAGGTCATTGGCCTTATCGGGATAATCTAATCCCTGCTGATATACCAATGGAAAGGGCTAGGGAGATCCCTGGTGATACCAGCACATTCTCACAGGGAACCTCAGGAGATAATGCTTCCAGAAGAAAGCAGATTTGATGACCCAAAGCTAGGAAGGGCAACTTGCATGGCAGAGTCAGGATCCAAAAAGATTTCAACAGGTTCCAATCTTGGACTAAATTTGATGAGATGATACTTAATGGGGACAAATGTAAATATTATACTCAGGTTCAAAAAAATCAATTTCCTATGTACAAAATAGAGGAAGAATGGCCAAGTAGCAGTTCATCTGGGGGAAAAAAAGATATGAAGGTTTTAGCTGAATGCAAGCTTAATATAAGTCAACAATATGGTTTATCGCCCCCCCCAAAAAAAAGGCTAATACAATCTGAGTCTGTGTTAGCAGAAGCAATGTGCAAAATAAAGATGGTCATGGCCCGATTTGCCTTGGTTAGACCATGTGTTCAGTTCTGAGTACCACATTTTAGGAAGGGCATTCATGATCTGGAGATCATCCAAAGAAGGGTCAGGAGGGAAAAGGGCTGTAAGAAGATCTATTAAAGGAAATGGGGATGTTTTGCCTGGAGAAGAAATGGCTCAGGATGTGTGGGATATCGCTCTTTAAGAATGTGAAGGGCTATAATGGAGAAGAGGGATCGGGCTTGTTCTGATTGACCCCAGAGAGCAGAACCAGGAGAATGAGGGCAAGTGACAGAGAAGGAGACTCAGGCTTAGCCCCTAGGGAAAGACTTCCTAATGACTAGAGTTATCACTGAGTGAAAGGCACTCACTGCCTGAGGAAACCAGCTCCTTTTCATTAGGGGGCTTCTAGCACAGGCTTGGAGGACTTCTTATACCCCTGTGGGTTAGACTAGGTGTTCATTGGGTACCATTCTGCCTTTGTTTGTCTTATCCACTAGTGAGTCTGATAATGAATACCTCAGACTGATGTTTGAGAGGAGGTGTATTGGTTTGGGTTTGGTTTGGCCAGGAGATGGTACTGCATTGTATAAGCCTACTCCCTCTGCCGCCTCCCTCACCGTCATTCATTTATTTTACAAATATCTATCAAAGGCCTGTATTCAAAACACTATGTGATCCTGGGCAAGTGACTTATGGGCTGTTTGCCTTAGTTTCCTCACCTGTAAAATGAAGATAATAAGAACACCTACTTCCCAGGACTATTGTGAGGATTGTATGAGCTAATATTTGTAAAGCACTTACAGTGCCTGGCACATAGTAGGTGCTTAATGAGTACTTGTTTCTTCCCTCCCGTCCTTCCTCCTTTTCTCCCTCCCTCCCTTCCTTCCTTCCTGCCTTCCTTCTTCTTTCCTTCCTGCCTTCCTTCCTTCTTCCTTCCTTCCTGCCTTCCTTCTTTCTTTCCTTCCTGCCTTCCTTCCTTCTTCCTTCCTTCCTGCCTTTTTTCCTTCCTGCTTTCCTTCTTCTTTCCTTT